CAGAAGCTGTCTTTGACGTGAATTCAGTGGATGGATGGCCTTTGATTTTTCATTATGAATGATGGTCAGAGGTAGACTGCCCATATGCCAGCAGATAATTATGTACATGTGTGCAACACTATTTGGACTGAGTATGTTATAAAATATTTTTAAAGAGGACATGAATTTAGGAGGGAGATGTGTCAGAGTAAGAGAATGGGGAGATGGGCATGATCAAGATACATTATCTACAACATATATGACATTTTAAAAAATAAAAACTGGGAAATATAACTGAAATGCCTGGAAATATTAGTGCATTTTAAAGAAACATTTACTTCACTATAGTTATCCGGACTGGTGAAACAAGGCATCCTGTAGAATCATAATTTCCCAAAGGAATCACACAGTGGAAGAAGTGGTTTAAGCTTGGAGCTAACCAGAGGATGATAATATAAATAGAACGGGAATAATATGGAAAAACAAAGAAAAGATAGTTGATACGGTTTGGGTTTAAAAGTATATTGAAAATTAACTGGTATGAAGATAGATAAACGCCATGACAACCTCTCAGGAGGTTCAGATCCTACTAAGCAGTCGTGTCTAAGGTTTTGGAGAGAAAAATAAAAGAGTAAAGAGGAAAAACAATATAGTGGAAAGCCAGAAAAGTACCAACTTAGTCTTTTAAAGTGACACTGGGTATTAAATATGGGAGAATAGATACTGAGGGGAGAGAGCTCAGGATGAAGATATAAGAAATGAAAACTTGCTGTTTTCAGACTCAAGACTCTCAATGTTCCTTTTTGTCTAGAGAGGCTTGTCTCACTTTTATGAATTCCACTGCCAACAGCAGTCTTGTCATCTTTTCTTTGTCTTCTTTAGATGATAAGATTACAGATGCTGGGCCAGTCTATTTGCTCCAAAGGTATAATCCCAGAATATAGTCATACTCTGTGTGTTTCCTTAGGATTTCAGTTGTGAATGCTGTCTCTGTCTCTAAGCAATCCTTCACAATATCTGGCATTCTGCTTACAGCGAATCTGATAGTTCCCACCAAATTTTCACCTCATTTTTATCTGTGCAGTCCCAATTCACCCCTCCCAATTTAAAAGTATTCTGCTGGAAAATTTTATCCTATATTTCCATGACATTTCCTCTGACTTTCCTGAGAGTATAATTCACAGAGGGTGTTTGTGAGGTGCTGAGGTGCCAACACAACAGAATTTTTTTTAATGATATGTGGTATTGTTACAATGATAAGCAACTAAGTCAAGGGAAAAACTACAATCTAGACATAAAATTATGAATTAATTTAAACTGATTTTTTTTTACAAGGGTGTCAAGAACATTCCACAGGAAAAAAAAAGAATAATCTTGGATACTGAGCTACCATGGGCTACATCCAAGCAGGGGTTCTAGGTTATAGCCATACATGGTCTTGGTTGGAGAAACAGTTTCTCATAGAGGACCCCCATGCCCTGATATAGTTGGTCTTTATGGAGCTCCTGTCCTCTCCAGATCATATTAACTCCCCCTTTTATCATATGATTCCCTGCACCCTACTGAAAGTTTGGTTATGAGTCTCTACATCTGCTTTCATATGCTGCTAGGTAGAGTCTTTCAGAGGCCCTTTGTGATAGGCTCCTGTCCTGTTTCTTGTTTTCTCCTACTTTTCATGTCTATCCCATTTGTCTTTCTAAGTGAGGATAGATCATCTTACCCTGGGTCCACTTTCTTGTTTATCTTCTTTAGGTGCACATATTTTAGTATATTTATCCTATCTTATAGGACTATATAAGTGAGTATATACCACGTGTGTCTTTCTGCTCCTGGGATACCTCACTCAGGATGATCTTTTCTAGATCCCACCACTTGTCTGCAAATTTCATGATTTCCTTGTTTTTAATTGCAGTATCCAAGTGGATTTCCCTAGTAAGGGGAACAGGAACAATTTCTGACATGAATTCAAGGACTGCCTCTTTTACTTCCCCCTGCCCCTGAAGGAAGAACATCCTTGCTAGGCAACAGAACAGGACATTGCAGCCAGTCCTGAAGATACCTGATAAGCTAGGGTCAGATGGAAGGGGAGGAGGACCTCCTCTAGCAGTGGACTTGGAAAGGGACAAAGAGGAGATGAGGGACGGAGGGTGGGATTGGGAAGGAATGAGGGAGGGGGCTATTACTGGGATACAAAGTAAATAACCTGTGATTAATATTAAAAAATAAAAAAGAATAATCTTATCAGCAAATAATAATGTGACAAGGTGCAGCCTCTTGAAAAGAAACAAAAAGTTCTCTTACATCACACTATTCAAAACTATGAAGCTGTTAAAAAAAACAAAACAAACAGGTGGAAAATTTTACACCGGTGAAATTGGAAAATTATTCTTATAAGACCCAATATATAAAGAAAAAAAGGAAAACTGGCATTAATTATAGGTATCATGAAAATAGGTAACTATATCAAATATATTTTATCAAATTATAAGAATATTTTGATTCCAAGAAAATAGTACACACAATATAAAAATTATTATCTACCAATCATAAGAAGGCACAGATGGGGACAACAAATATGGGCTTTGGATTTACAAATTCAAGGCTTGAATTCTACTTTCAATTCTCATCAAATATGCCATCCAGAGAAATTTATTTGATACCTCTGGCTGTCATTTTACTCTCCAGTCACGTTAAGATAGTAATACATTGCTTATATAGGGGAGTAAATACAACAAAGCATAAAAAACACGTGTCTTTAGGCCTGCTATGTATTCTGTTTGTTTGGAAGAACTGCTTCTATTCTAAAGTTAGATTGCAGAGGGAAGATCTAACTTTAAAATAAATCTCATTTTAAAACAAAAATCTAATTTTAAAACTAACAATCATGTTAGTGAGCCTATAAAAGTGCTATTTCTTAGGAATGGTGGCAACTTCTTTTTTAGTCTATTATTTCTCTCATGAAGAATTGTCCATAAAATGTGGGTTGACAGTTTTCAGTCAGTTTTAATCACCAATGAAGGCAGAATGCAGTAGTAGAAAACAAATTGTGAAAATTATGTGTTTGTGAATGTGCCCCGTATCGTGACCCTTTCCTGAACATTATAGTCCCTCGGTGTGTCTCTCCTCTCCCTTGCTGCCAATCCCATTTTTCTATGTCCCTCTTTCTCTTCAATCAGGTTCCTACTGTTTCCTTTGATTGATGAATCTTGGGTATTTTAGACTGTCCTGCTGAACTATCTAATCTACTCTATTTTAGTGTCTCTCCTCTTCTTTATTGCCAATCCCATTTTTCTATGTCCCTCCTTCTCTTCATTCAGGTTCCTACTGCTTCTTGTGCTTGGTATTTTAGACTGCTCGAACTATCTAATCTATTCTATTTTAGGATAGAAGACTGCACACTGACTATACAATAATACCTCATCCTTCTCTGACAAAGCATGCCCAGGAAAATAGTATAGATATCTACTTCAGCATGGTTTTGATATACTTATAATTTTAAGGATTGTTTCCTGTTTCTTAGTGTATTGTAATAAACGTTGCATAGTATTTTTACACTGTTGTGTACACAGTGCTTTTTCACAGTATGATTACCAAATTTACTGTTTGTAATAAAGGGAAATGAGGTACTTGGATTTACATATACCTAATTTATACATATATTAATTTTTTGAGATTATACTATATTTACATAAATTCTCCTTTTCCTTTCCTCAGTCCAAAACCTTTCATGTATTCCTCCTTGCTCTCTTTTAAATTCACTGTCTCCTTTTTTTATGTTTGATTAAATTTTTATTTTTTATATTAATTACAATTAATTCAGTTTGTATCCCAGCTATAGCCCTCTCCCTCATTCCATCACTGTCTCCTTTTTTAATCATTGTTATATATGTGTATGTGCATAAATACATAAATACAACCTGTTCAGTCTCTATAATGTTATTTGTATGTATATTTGTTTTCATGACTGACCAGTCAGTATTGGAGAACCAATTAGTGTGACCTTCCCTGGAATAAACTATTTCTCAAGCGATAGTTGAGAAATAAACTATTTCTCAACCTTAGTTGCTTGTGGTTCTTTCTGGAGAATGGATAGGGCTGTGCTTCACAAAACCTCAACTCTGTAAGATATACCGTTAATGTAACAAGGAATCTTACAATTCAATAATAAGATATGTAAACCAATTAAAATTATCCAGACTCCAAATTGACCTTTATCGAAGGAATATATAAATGGTTGAACTATCTTAAAAAGATAGTTTTCAAATAATTGTAAATAAAAATGAAAATGTGATACTACTTTACACTAGAATGTTTAAAATAAATTAAGATAATAAGCACTTGATGTGAATGTGGACAAATATAAACTTTTATATAGTATAAGTAAAAATATAAAATTACACATTATCTTTAAATACAGTATGACAGTTCTTTAAGCAGCAAATATTGGGTTTTGATATAATTTTGCTTCTTGGCATACTACCAGCAAGAAATGAACCATATACCCTCAGAGTCTTGTTAAAATATTTAGAATTGCCTTATTATTGTATCTGAGTTTGAATGAATGACTACTCCTCAATTGAGAGATTTTTACATATATGTATAATGCCTAACATCAAATATTATTCAATCATAAAAGTATAATGCACACTATAATATAGGAGGCATTATACTAATTGAATGCTGTCACAAAGTAGCATTCATCACATCATTCAATTCATATAAAATAAGTAAAACAGGGAAATTGACAGAAAGTAGGTTAGTTATTTCTTAGAAAAAAATGAGGTGGGGGAGATTCGTAAGTAATAATTTCAGAGTTGTCATTGTATTGATAAAAGTGCTCGAATTTAACTGAGTTGATACTTACACCTATCTGTGAATATATTAAAAATCACTAAGTTTCATACTTTACTGGGTGAATTATATTGAAACTATTAAAAATACATTATAGCTGGGTGAATAATATAAAAACTATTAAAAATACATTCTAGCTATTTCAGACAATTTCTACTGAATATACTCACCTCTTTTGTCTTTTTGCTGTACAGACTTTCGCTCTTCAGTTTTCTTTTCATGGTCAAACTTAAGAGGAAGGATAACTGGCCTCCAAAAACCTAGAATCATATCAAATGCACTCAGTTACTTTATAATTACTAATAAAATGATAATTCTGCAGTAAACATCTTGTTTAATATGGAAACATCCTTTTGAATATATACTTGTTTGTAATGGTACAGATATTCCCAAATTTCATGAAGCTTACTAAAATCATATTAAAAATGACATTTAAAATATTGTGACATGTATAATTCTATGCAACAATTAAAAACATAGTCAGCTCTAAAACTTTTGTAACAAGTTCATAACAGTAGAGTGACTACCTGTTTTAAAAACAATCTAGTGTGCACAGTAACAGAAAGAAAGTGACATAGTTTTGGGTGTTGGATATATGTATCTTTTCCTTACATCTCTTTACATTTATAATGAGAATGACCACATGTGATAAAGGTTGCCTTTAGGAATTATTGCAGGGAAGGTTCAAAATATGAAAATCTATCAATGTAATCCACCATATAAACAAACTGAAAGAAAAAATCTTCTCATTAGATGCAGAAAAAGCCTTTGATAAAAATCCAACATCTCTTCATGATAAAAGTCTTACAAAGGTCAGAAATACAAGGTCCATACCTAAACATGAAAAAGGTTATATTATATTTGATGTTGGTAAGCCAATAGACAACATCAAACTAAATGGAGAGAAACTCAAAACAATCCCACTAAATCTAGGGACAAGACAAGGTTGCTTACTCTTTTCACATCTCTTCAATATAGTACTAGAAGCTCTAGCTAGAGCAATAAAACAACTAAAGGAGATCAAAGGGCCACAAATCAGAAGGAAGAAGTTAAAGCATTGCTGTTCACAGATGTATGATAGTATTTATAAGTGACTCCAAAAATTACACCAGAGAATTCCTACAAATGATACACTCTTTCAGCAAAGTGGCTGTTTACAAGATAAACTTTAATAAAAAATCAGTAGCCCTCCTCCATACAAAAGACAAATGGGCTGAGAAAGAAATTAGGGAAAAAAACACCATTCACCATAGCCACAAAATAATATAAGGCATCTTGGTGTAAATCTAACCATGCAAGTGAAGGACACTTATAACAAGAACTTCAACCCTCTGAAGAAAGAAATTGAAACAGGATGGGAGCTTACTATAGAGGGTCCTCTGAGAGTCTCCCCACAACAGGAGATCAAAGCAGATACTGAGACTAACAGCCAAACTTTGGCCAGAGTGCAGGGAGTCTTAAGGAAGAAGTGTGGGGGTTGTGTTGGAAATAGAAGGACGTGGAGGGGACAGGAACCCCACAAAGAGACCAACAAAATTTAAAAATCTGATCCCAGGGGGTCCTTCAGAGATTGAAGCACCAAGGATCATGCATGGAGAGGACTTAGACCCCAGGTTCAGATGTAGCCAATTGGAAGCTCAATCTCTTTGTGGATCAACAAGTAAGGGGAACAGGAGTTGCCTCTGTCATGAACTTTGTTGCCTGCTTTTTAATCACTTGCCCCTGGTACTTCATACTTAACAGGCCACAGAGGAAAAAGATCAATGCAGTCCTGATGAGACTTGACAAGCTATGGGCACATGACAACAGAGAAGAACTCCACCTTTCAGTGGACTAGGGGAAGGTGGTAAGGGGAAAGAAGGAGTGTGGGACTGGGAGGAGGTGAGGGAGGGGGCATTAATCAGGATATAAATTAAATTGTGAAAAAATAGAAATTAAAATTAAAAAAGAAATTGAAGAATATACCAGAAGATATAAAGATTTCCCAAGTTCATGGATCAGTAGCATAAACATAGTAAATTAACAGTAATAGTAGATTACCAGTCTACAGATTCAATGCAATTCCCTTCAAAATACCAAACAATTTTTCACAAATTTTGAAAGAACAATTCTTAACTTTATATAGAAAACAAAAACCCAGAATAGCTAAAACAATACTGTACAATAAAAGATTTTCTGGAGGTAACTCCATTCGAGATCTCAAGCTGTAATATAGAGCAACAATAATAAAAACTCCATGGTGTGGCAGCGAAATGGGCAGGGTTGTACAATGGAATCGAATGCATACTTGATTTTTGACAAAGGAGCCAAAACCATACAAAGGGGGAAAAAAGATAGCATCTTCAATAAATGGTGCTGGTCTAACTAGATGTTTACATGCAGAAAAATGAAAATGTGTTCTTATTTATCGTCCTGCACAAAACTCAAGTTCAGGTTGATCAAAGACCTCAAAATAATACCAGATACACTAAATCTGGGAGAGGAGAAGGTGGGTAAGAGCCTGGAAGTCATTGGCACAGGTGAAACCTTACTGAAGAGAACTCCAACAGGTTAGGCTCTAATATCTACAATTAATAAATGGGACCTCTCAAAACTGAAAAGCTTTTGTAAAGCAAAGTACACTATTAATAGAATGAAACAGCAGTCCAAGGATTGGAAAATTTTCTTCACCAATCCTACATCTGAAAAAGGGCTAATATCAAATTATATAAAGAACTCAAGAAATTAAATACCAACAAACCAAATAATGCAATTAAAAAATGGTCAGATGTCATGCAGACTTTAAGGGACCACAAATGCCAACTCAGCCTACTATACACAGTAAAGCTTTCAATCAACATAGATGGAGAAAACAAAATATTCCATAACAAAACTAAACTTAAAAAATATCTACACAGCAACCCAGCTCTACAAAAGATACTAAAAGGAAAACTCCAATCCAAAGAAAGCAACTACATCCAAGAAAATATAGGTTATAGATAACTACACAACAACAACAACAACAACAACAAAACAAAACAAGCAATGAAACACAGTAACACCACAAACTCCACAACACATACAAGCATGAAAGCCCTAGGGACAAAAAAAAAAAAAAAAAAAAAAAAGAAGCAAACACATCCAAGAGGAGTAGATGGCAAGAAATATTCAAACTTAGGGCAGAATTTAATAAATTAGAAACAAATAAAACAGTTCAAAGAATCAATGAAACCAAGAGCTGGTTCTTTGAGAAAATCAACAAGATAGACAAGCCCTTAACCAATCTAAGTAAAAGGCAAAGAGAAACTGTCTAAATCAGCAAAATCAGAAACGAAAAGAGGGACATAATAGACACTGAGGAAATCCAAACAACCACTAGGTCTTACTACAAAAACCTATACACCAAAAATTTGAAAATCTAAATGAAATGGACAATTTTCTTCATTGATTCCACTTACCAAAATTAAATCTAGATTAGGTAGAAAGATTGAATTATCCTATATGCCCCACAGAAAAGTAAGCAGTCATCAAAAGTTTCCTTTCCAAAAAAACCGAGGGCCAGATGGTTTCAGCACAGAATTCTACCAGACCTTCAGGGACGAGCTAACTCCAATTCTCTTCAAACTCTTCCACAAAATAGAAACAGAAGGAATATTACCAAACTCATTCTATGAAACAACAGTCACCTTGATAACTAAAACACACAAAGACCCAAAAAAAAAAAAAAAAAAAGAGAACTTCAGACCTATTTCTCTTATGGTCATTGATGTAAAAATACTCGATAAAATACTGGCAAACCGAGTCCAAGAACATATAAAAGATATCATCCACCATGATCAAGTAGGCTTCATCCCAGATATGCAGGGGTGGTTCAATATACGGAAATCCATCAATGTAATCCACCACATAAACAAACTGAAGGAGAAAAACACCACATGATCATCTCCTTACATGCCAAAAAAGCATTTGACAAAGTCCAACACCCATTCATGTTTAAAGCCTTGGAGAGATCAAGGATACAAGGCACATACCTAAACATAGTAAAGGCAATATACAGCAAGCCTATAGCCAACATCAAACTCAATGGAGAGAAACTTTAATCAATCCCACTGAATTCAGGGACAAGACAAGGCTCCCCACTCTCTCCATATATCTTCAATATAGTACTTGAAATCCTAGCTAAAGCAATAAGACAACTAAAGGAGATCAAGGGGATACAAATCAGAAAGGAAGTGGTCATAGTTTCACTATTTGCAGATGAAATGATAGTATACATGAGCGACCCCAAAAATTCAACCAGAGAACTCCTTCATCTGATAAACAACTTGAGCAAAGTGGCTGGATACAAAATCAACTCAAAAAAAAAAAAATCAGAAGCACTCCTGTATACCAAAGACAAAAGGGCCGAAAAAGAAATTAGGGAAACAACACCCTTCAAAATAGCCACTAATAATATAAAGTACCTTGGTGTGACTCTAACCAATCCAGTGAAAGACCCGTTTGAAAAAAACTTCAGGTCTCTGAAGAAAGAAATTGAAGATATCAGAAGATGGAAAGATCTTCCATGCTCATGGATCGGTAGGATTATCATAGTGAAAATGGCCATCATGTCAAAAGCAACCTACAGGTTGAATATAATTCCCATCAAAACACCAACAATATTCTTCACAGACCTTGAAAGAAAAATTCTCAATTTTATATGGAAAAACATATAATCTAGAATTGCCAAATAAGATCCTATTCAGCAACAGATCATCTGAAGGTATCTCCTTCCCAGATTTCAAGCTGTACTATTTAACAATAGTAATAAAAACTTTATGGAACTGGCATAGAAACAGAATGGTGGATAAATGGAATCTAATTAAAGACCCAGAAATAAACCCACACACCTATGGATACTTGATTCTTGACAAATTAGACAAAACCATACAATGGAAAAAAGACAGCATCTACAACAAATGGTGCTGGTATAACTTGATGTCTACTTGTAGAAAAAAAGCACAAAACTAAAGTCTAAGTGGATCAAAGACCTCACCATAAAACCAGACACACTAAATCAGTTAGAAGAAAAAGTGGGGAAGAGCCTAGAACTCATTAGCAAAGGAGATAGCTTTCTGAACAGAACATCGACAGCACAGCCTCTAAGATCAATAATCAATACATGGGACCTCATGAAACTGAAAATGTTCTGAAAGCAAAGGACATTGTCTCCCGAACAAAACAACCGCCTATGGATTGGGAAAGGATCTTCACAAACCCTATATCTGACAGAGGGCTATTA